CAACCGGCTGGATGTACATTATCCCGCTTATTACACGGCTACTTGCCACATAAGTAAATAATTAGACGCAAAATATTGATTTGACTTGAAATATTTGAACACAAAGCTTCCGTGAAGACAGCAGTTGCGAGCAAGCGGCAAATTAAAACTAGACGGACATTTAAGGGGAACGGTGCAGTCAAACCACTTATTACACAACATGACCCGGATGAGCCTGTGTTATTAGCTTTTACCGGTTGTTATCGAGGGACCTCCGACTGACCAATCAGAATCAAGTATTCCACAGGGACGTGTAATAAATATATATATAATATGTTTTTAAGGCCCTTCAGATATACAATAATGGGGCAGAGAAACATTTTTAAAGCCCTACAAATGCTCAAGCAGAATATTTTAGGTTTTTATTTATTTTTAAATCAATTTTCACCTCTGTATTAAGTATTATGACATTTAAACAAGTGTCATCAATTAAAAATCAAAATGTTATGTCATTTAAAATTTTGATCACAAAAGTTTGATATTTCAACAATTTTGACCATAAACAAACAGATGAATATTGTGGCATTTAAACAATGTTGACTATTATCAAACATAAATATTATGGCATTTAAACAAGTTAAAAACAACAAGAAGAAGAAATATTATGCCATTTTAATAAAGTTGACCATTAAGAAAATATCAAAATGTCTAATAAGTCTAACAGTTACTCAGAGATCTGTGAGATCCCTCTTGTTCACCACCATTGGGCTCTTCAAGGATCTTTCCATCCTGCAGTCCAGAATCCTGTAAGAAGCCTTGCTGTGTTTGTGTTGTTAAGTCCTGAAACAGCTTCACTATCCCAGACTTCTTCAGACTTCCATGTAAGTTTTTAGAAGCAAACGCATACAGCACAGGGTTTACTGAGCTACTGATAAATGCCAGAGCTCCAGAAATAAAGACACTATTTGGGATATGAGACCATTCATCTGATCCTCCTACTAGAAGAACCACCATCCCTACGACATTGAGCATGTGGTGAGGTAACCAACACACAATGAAGGCCACGACCACTCCACAAATGAGAAAGGCCGTTTTCTTGGTCCTAAAGCGCACCTTTCGGAGCTGTACGGCAACCTGACAGTAGCAGATCGCAAGTGTGAGAAATGGAATAACGAAGCCAAGCAGAGTCTCCAAACACATACAAAAGACTTCAATGGACATAGAGTCGTACTCCCGGTAGAAGCAATGTTTCACTCCATCATCATCTTCATCAATATACTGGGTTAGGATGATTGGAATCCCCAAAATGAATGACAGGATCCAGGTCACTGCCAGTATTATGGACATGGACATCCTATTTTGCCAATACAGCATCTTTAAGGGGTATCTGATGGCCAGGAAGCGCTCCACACTCATGACGGTGATGATGAAGATGCTGCTGTACATACAGGCATTGATGATGTACACCATGGCTTTGCAGGCAGCCTCTCCAAACACCCAGGAACGGGCCAGCGAGTAGATCCACAGCGGCAGAGTGACCAGCACCAGAAGATCTGCAGCTGCCAGGTGGAGGATGAGAAGCACCGTATGTGAACGCTGCTTCACATGCTTCAAGATGGTCCACACCACCAGCAGGTTCCCAGGTGTGCCCACCAGGAAACACACCCCCAGGATCACACAGGCTGCAATGTTCCCTCCAGATGACCAGCTGTCCGGTAACGAATCATTGTCACTGTGAAAGGAGCTGTTCATTTTTGTCTCTGTTTTTAGTGAGTCTGAGTTCTGACTGAAACTCACTGCTTTTCAGTTCCTTATTCTTATAGCTTACAAAGCAACACTTCCACTGTCTGTTATTCATATGACAGAAAAAGGTGGAGACAAATCATATACCCACATAGTACAGTAATTCATTGTTTCATTATTGTGCTGTACTTTTGGTTTTCTAAAACTGAAATTGAATGAAACAGTAAACGGTATATAGAGTGAGAATCCTTAGCTTTCTACTTACTTGAAATTAAAACCAATAGCAAAAAGGGGGAATCCGGAGAGTGATGTTACACAAGTCAGTTAAATGAACTAGAAATGAGTCACTGTCACACATGAGCACCACCCTCCTGAGGTGCCACTAGAAGTTTCTGTGAATAAATGTGAAGGATTTACATGATAAAATAATAAGAAAAAAAATAGAACGTATCATTCTTATAGTGTAATTTGCGGTCTTGTTAAGGACCGGTTAAATGCCTATCATCTGAATTGCAAAGTTCTCTTCTGTTTGTTTTGATATAAATTAGGGCTTTAGGTCATAATTAAGTATGTGTCTGGTGCCTGCCTTATAATTAAAACCTTATAATTATTTGTTTTAATGAAACATTAAATAAATCAGACAAATGGCCACAAGGCTATCAGCACAGATGAAGTTGAGATTTCTGACCCATTGAAGGCAAAAAAATCTTTTTGAGAAAACAGCCTTTGAAGATATGATATGTATTGTAATCGAAATCTGCAGATGGCAAACAGATAAAGTGTAATAAAAATAAAAACTTACCACTAGTCTGAAAGAAGACGTCTTATGGAAGCAAAATTCACTCAAAATGTCCCAGTGCCTGAAACAAGCAGTGGTTTTGCCTGTAGTGTCTTCCCTTAAAATATTACAAATACTAATATTAATTATTTGATTGAATTTAAATTTTTATTGAAATTAATTTGATAAAAATTTAAAGTTGTATTAATGTTGCATTCTGGCAGCGGAGTAGTAAATTAACAACATCTTTTGTATTGGACTATAATTTACATAGTTTAGGGATAAATGATAGATTTCTAAATAACCTTCTAAACAAGTTGTATAAAATATGGAATTAAATATGAAATATTTAATAAATGTTTATTCATTCTATGTTCATTGTTAAGTCTACTTAAAGGGATAGTTCACCCAAAAATGAAAATTCTGTCATTAATTACTCACCCTCATGTCGTTTCAAACCCGTAAGACATTCGTTCATCTTCGGAACACAAATTACCGT